ATTGACCCCACAAACATCCACCTCCTCTCACCGCTGCCACATCAGCATTGGTACTTATGAAATGAAAAGCTTATCATCCTGTTATCTATTCTTACAAAAAAACAGATCCACAGAAGTGATTTTTATTTTTTTATTGAAAAAATAATAACAATACAAGAATGTCATAATGGTTTTTAAAATGTAACAGGTTTAAAAATTCAAACATTGTCAAGAAAATGGTTAAACAACATCTGGAATATTGTCAACATACTATTTTAATATTACTTATTTATTTCTTTCTTTACTTAATTTCAGAAACACAGCAAAAATAGCCCAGCTGAAGCCAAAACCTTGTCCTTGTACGACGCATGGATCAAATGTCAGTCGCTTCCTGCTGAATTGGCCAAAATTCAATTCTTAGATGGCCCTGCTGGCACCACTCAGCTTGACGAACGTCAATTTGTCAACCAACTACTGTTAAAGTTGTTGGCCAAACTGTGACAGCCCAATGGGTACTGGGTTGCCTTTTTGAATGGCCTGTCAACTCACATCATAAGGTGAAAAATCTGAACTGCAGAATTTTTTTTAATACATCAATGCAGTGTGTGTTCTACAGTATCTGTTCATTGAAGTGCTTTTCCACAAAGCATGTTGCCACAATGCATAGTTCTGAAGGAATCCTGAAAGTCATTTGCTGCTTAGTCAGGCTAAGCCCAGCTGAGAGGCTCCTCAGGGCCGCATTTCTCACTAAAGGTGGCCATACATTGTGCACATTTTGGACAGTTCGTGAGGAACCAGTTGAAATTCGCACAGTGGGTGCCACTGACGGCACCCTTTCGGCCAGCATCCCTCAATCAGCTGTTCGAAGGAGCCGGTCGCAAAATCTTCATATGAACAGAGCCGCCAGCCAATGAGCTGCCGGCTCTGTTAGGGTATGCTGACAGTGGCCGGCGGCCGCTGTCAGACTACAAAAGCAACAGCGGGGATTCCTCAATCAACCCACTCACAGTGTTGATGGGGAACTCTGCTCTATTTTATTTGTTCAGCCAGGGGGTTGAATGAAAAAAATAGAGCAGTGTATGGCCAGCTTTAGACACATAGACTATGTGCTAATTACATCTACCTATACGCTTTTAGAATTTGTAAAGGCAAATATCCCCCTTCCTCTTCCTACTGCATACTAATTCAAACAAGGTGCATGTACTTAAAAAAATAGTTTCAACATGCACCAATAACCAACATAAAAAAAAACTTCAGTAAGGAAAATATTTTTTCCTTTGAACAGATTTTTGATCATTTATCAGCAACCAGATAATTAAAATCACAGTTAAAATACTTTCAATAAAAGACAAAATTGCACCCTTATCAGTGAACATATCAATAAACGTAGGCCATACCCTTTATTTACAAAGGAGGCATCATTTTGACCCAAACCACTGCTTCAATTAATGTCATATATCAACTTAGCAGGGACTAAACCCACAAAAAAGCTTAAAATGGCTTAAAAAACAAAACAGGTACTCTTTACAAACAAAAAAGCCAAAGGCACTTCAATTTCCACAAAAGAAAAGAACAGAATCCTGAGATAGGAGGCTTAACACAAAGTGCAGATTTTAACTGTTATAAAGTAACGTCTTGAGGTAAAATGTCTAAAAAAAATGATATTCAAATTGAGAAGCGACTGAGGTTTCCAGTTGACAGTTACGAAGATAAAAAGCAATTCCCATAGAAAATGCCATCCTCTTTCCTCACCACTAACTGAAACTCGATGGTGAAGTCTCACAGCTGGTGTGTTTGGGACACCACAAGAAATGTACCTTTTAGTGTAAGGTGAATAGAGGTAGAAAAAAATATTGTTCACATGCAAAACAGAATATTCTTAGAATTAAAAAAATATCAAACATATCTATGATGTGCACAAAAACAGCAATCATTAAACAGGGTTTCTGAGAAATGTAAAGTGACAATTCTGTATAAATAAAATGTATTGTTCTGTATACCTCACAGCATTTTTAATCCATTGCCATATACACTGTCTGGCCAAAAAAAAGTCACCGCCTGGACTTCAGAGCGTGTTATATATGGTTTGTTTGCTTCAGTTGGTCAGGTCTAGGTTCAGCAACGTTATGTCCCCAAACAAATGAGGTCAGTTGCCTACCTGAATATACTTAGTGACCAGGTTTTTCCATCAATGGGTTTTTTCTTCCCTGATTGCACATTGGACATATTCCAAGATGACAATGCCAGGATTCATCGGGCTCATATGGTGAAAGAGTGGTTCAGGGAGCATGAGACATCATTGTTACACATGGATTGACCATCACAGAATCCAGACCTTAACCCCATTGAGAATCTTTGGGATGTGCTGGAGAAGACTTTACACAGTGGTCCGACTCTCCTATCATCACTACAAGATCTTGGTGAAAAATTAATGCAGCTCTGAGTGGAACTACATGTTGTGATTTTGCATAAACGTATCAAAATAATGCCATGGCAAATGGGTGCCATAATCAAAGCTAAAGGTGGTCCAACAAAATATTAGAGTGTGTGACTTTTTTGGGACAGGCAGTGTATTAAAACATACACTGAGTAGCCAGTTTATTATGACCACCTGACGTTTGTAGGCAAATTAGCTATAATTTCGTGCTGAAGTTGCTAGAAGGCCAGACCATTATAAATAGGGAAGCAGATTGTATACCACAACATTAGTAATGATTTGTTTCTGAAGATACGGGTACACAACGCGATTTAACAGCCTTTGAACGTGTGATGATTGTTGGCGCGAGCCATGGAGCGAGTATGTTCAAGAGCAGCTGTTGTTAAAGTGTTTAAAGACTGGACTGCCAGCCGAAAATCTGGGTCTGAACGTGCAAATTGTGGCCGTCAGCGACTAGTCAATGTTAGGGCAGAACGGAGAGTGGCAAGACTGGTACAAGACAACAGAAGGGCAACAGTGCAGTGTCAGATTCGCATCACCTCGCATCACCTTTCAACATCTCGTAGAGTCACGAGGCGGCCCAACAAATCAAAAGAGATCAAATAAGAGAAGTTAATTATCCACATTTGTATGTAAAATATCAGAAAACAGCACGCACCAATCATCTTATATCCTTCGTTATTCTGCATGTTCAGTGCTTACATGAGATAAAATTCAATTGCTATGTGCTACAGCACATCATAGCCCTTAAAACTGAAATAAGTCTAGAAATATCTATCTTGTATCAAAAAACTAAATTGTCTCATTTATACATTGTAAAATAGAAAAAATATAAATGCATTAAAACAACACATGGAAAAAAAAGATCCTGCATCATATCTATATACTGTATGTAGAATGATGGCATAGTCAATTCTAATATCTGAACAGTTTTAAAAACAACAGCAGCTTAAAGAACATGGAAAGTACCAAGTCCTGTATCTCCAGACGCTAAGTCTTAAAATTGATACTACAATATAAAGTAAATTATATTAAAAGGGAATTATAAAATAAAATCTGCCAGGAACAGTGGCAGTCCGCACAACCTCTTATTATAGCAAAGTATCTTGCTAAGCGTCACCCTTTTATGCCATTCAGAATAGATGCAAAACTCGAAACCTTTTAAAATCAAAAAGAGACACATTGGGGTTTATGCATCAATGTTTTCACCCAAGATCCACACAGCTTTCACAGAAGCACATTCACATGTTTTTCCATTTGATTCCTGGGTGGAAAATGTGTGCATTAGAGTGAACGTTGTGTGAATCTTGAGTAAAAAAACACTACTATACAGACCTCATTAAGTCCCAAGTCTACTAAATCAGCATACACGCTTACCATATATCTAACCACTTTCAAAAAAAAATTCTCCGTATTCAGATCAGTAAAAGAGAACGGTTCTGCTGAAATTGGGACTTTTGGTAGGTATGTGGTTAAGAGGTCTGCATATAGCATGTTGTTAAAACATATCAAATGCCAAAACTTTTTTCTAGTTTTGGATAGAATGTGGAATGGTTAAACCCCCTGTTTGTGTCTTTGTGCCCTATTGGGTAGATTTACCTTCTCTTCCTATTCCCGAAAACACATGTGGAAGTGGGAGCAAATCTCTCAAAATTGAGGGAATCCTCTCTCTCAGACAGCTGTCACTGCAAAATGTGGCCCCGTTGGAAGATTTTTCCCTTTACTGCTGTTCCAATGACAACTCAAAAGTTTAGAAATGTTTTTTCTTCAATTTTGGTTACTACTAGGATAAATAGAAATATATTTCCCCAATAGGAACAGAAACTGTAATAGAACATGAGACGGTGGCTAATCTTCCCCTACTTTATAATCTCTTGTTTTTTTTCACAGAAATGCCAACAACCAAAAATGGCGATGAAAAATACCATACACTATGTAAAAATAATAAAAAATAAATAAAAAATAGTAAAACATAGCTCAAGTGTGCTGCATTTGCTTTGTTAGTTATATATTTATGACTCATAATAGCAATTTTTTATTTTTGGCTCAGTTCAACAATATTTAACTTATATCTTGCACCTTTAATAAAATAAAAAAGGCTGAATTCGCTAAGCTATCAGGCATGTTTTATCTTCTATAGTGATAGTAATATTTAGCCATGAGGTTTTTATTGCCTAATACTCTGCTATCAAGCAGACCTAGGTCCTAGTTCGTTAAAAAAAAAAAATCACACAAAAATCATGGTAAACCCGGATGCACGGTCCGTATTGCATGTCCTTAACGAATAAATGTTTAATTCTCAAAGTAAAACAATGAACATTTTGAATACTATAAAAAAAAGTTTTAGTACTCGCTAGTAAGGCATTTAAGTAACTTGACTCCGTAGCCCGATGTTCTACTTAAGCTACTTAATGCTCCTTAGTTAACTCTTGGCACCCTCTAGAATCTGTACTCACACTCCTTACTGCCAACCAAAGGTGAATCACTGGCTCTTAACTGTAGGCTTCTGGGCCTAAGTCAAAGGAACACCTGGTTAACTCTAGATGGGACATAAATCAAAAGTAAAGATTTCTGACTGATGAACTCAGAATTCCAATGACTCTAAATTATCTAAAGAACACTCTAAGCCTTCCTCTGGCGCTGCATTAGCATCTATATCTACTGTAAAACCTTGATGCTTCAGATTTATATGGGCATTCATAAATTTCTGCAGATATTTGGAGGTGTACAACCAGTGATGCTTCAAAACATCTTCCAGCTCATATATTTTGGACTGCCGGGCATTCATCTTTCTAAAACGTCTGAACAACTTGTTGCCAGACTCGTTTCCTTCACTGGCCCAAGCTCCAATGGAACCATCGCGTTCAATGATCTCTGGGACGTGGGCAAGGGTCTTGTGAAAATAGTTGGTAATCCTGCCCTCGTATCTGTACTTGAACTTTGTGGACAAGAGTTCTGCAAAGCGTTGAGAATGATAACTGTATTGGCACAGTAGCTCTGGGCATTCTTTGGCCGGGCAAGAAGAGCGCCATACTGGTTTCATTTTCAGGTACAAGTCCATTAGTTCTTTAAGCGCCTCTTGTCTCTCTTCGCAATGCACTAATTCGCACACTGCTTCTACAGTCTCTTTGCTCATGAGTTTCCGGGCAAAGTTTCCGTTCATTCTCATGATAGGTTTCAGGTTCAACTTCTTTCTAATGTGTTTGTCAAGTATAGTTTGCCATTTTTTTCTCTCTTCTCTGGTCGCATTGGAGTTTCTGTAGACCTCCCCTATTTCTAGCTGAAATATCCTGTAAAATTCAGCTGCATTTCCAATGTCACAATGTAAGGCATCAATGGATGGGAGGGTTTCAATAAATGGCTTTGCTGAAACTCCTTTCACTCTGTCGCGGAGCTCGTCAGCAGATTCATGGTAAGGGTTTGCCCTCCATGTCTCATAGCGCTGTAAGTTCTCAGAATGACTTCTGGTAATGGAATGGAAGACTAAGTTCTGAGAAGCTTCCAGCCTAGTAGCATCACAGAGGGTACAAATATAGACAGAGCCTGATGCTTCTAGTCCTTCTACTTCTCTCACAAGCTTCTCGTCATACCCTGTACCACGAAAGATAAATTTGAAACTTCTGAGGATTCCCCCAATCTCCAACATGAGCTCACTCGATTTCATGGTTTCTCGCTCAGCTATCAAAGGACTCAAGATGGCTGTTAGAGTTTCATGGTCTGATTCATCGGCAAGCATAAGACATAGGGGTTTGCAGCAAAGCTCTGAGTTTGGTTTGGCCTCTTCAAATATTCTAACAGACCCACTTCCGTTGGGAACACTGATGTTCATGATGGTGAATGAGAAACGTACTGCTTTCTCAGGAACTGGAGGACCACCGCCATGCTTCTCACTGACATCTCCCATTCCATCACAAGATTCTTTGACCACCACAGTGAAGGGACCACTTAGGTATTCCTCCAGATCCTGAGATTTTAAGCCTTCAAGGATATCCTCTTCCATGTCTTTTAGAGTGGAAACTAAAGCAGTATCATATCTAAACCTTTTAGAAATAGCTTCCACTGGGTATTCATCAACTGAACTATTGAGTCCTGAAAGGCCATCAATGATGCCAACATCTGTACTGGTAGAGACATTTGTCAGAGGAGGTTTCCATTCAAAGGGATGATACCCTGGCAGCAAGGCCTTTTCTGCATTTCTGAGAGCATGGAGTGGCTGAAAGATTTGACGACCAGTTGTGGCTTTTACTGTCCTGTACATTTTGTGATACTGGCTGCAACTCAGGAAGGTGTTTACTCTTATTGCAAGACAAACAGCGGGGTGAAGACCTGCTCCTCTACCTTCCATGATGGCTTCTAACTCATCTGCTTGCCTGTGTTCATTCTTTGCTCTTAGAGCCAACAGAAAGAGAGTCAAGCAAACCGATCTAACATCTCCCCCTTCCTCTTTCTCAGCAAAGGCCTTTACTTGCATCTTTAGCTCTCTAAGCCGGTGTTTTTGAGCTCTCCTTGTCAATGACAGCAGGTGTTGTCTGGGACGTCCACCTTTGTTGATATGAGCATAGGCCTCTTTACCTTTAATCTCTTTGTGTTTGGAGATGTGGTGTGAGTATTTTCCAAGAGTGACCTCTTCATCACACCCAGCCACTGTGCATTTTAGCACCAAGGAATTTAAAATGTTCAGATAAGATTTCACTGGTGTTGTAAAGTCAGTTGGGAAACAAGTATACCTGCAGGCTGGGCAGTAACAGCCCATGATCTTGATATACTTAACAATGCAATTCCTGCAGAATAGGTGCTTGCATGCAGTTTGTATTGGATCAAACAGAATATGTTCACACACCTGGCAAGTCACCGACTTGACAAAGTCAGAAGGATATTCCACAACCAGGAGATTGGCATCAAGGTGGATTTTCTTGCAGCTGGTCTTTATCTGATTTAGAGCTTTGCTGTTCTTCCAAAAGGATGTGGTATTTCCATTTTTGACCTTTTTCCCATGTTCTACACTGATTTTGCGTTTTTTGGGCAGGAGAGAACTCTGAATGAGCCCTCCTTTTCTTTTTCCCCAGGTTTTGGAGTAATTGCAAACTTTACATGTGGTTGAGTGAGACTTCCACTCCACAACTTTATTTCGAGGGAAATAAACTTCACTGGAGGTATTGCTGAACTTCTGATGCATGATTGTCCAGCAGTTATGACAGAAGCGGGTTGGGTGAATGGTGTCCAAATCACCCCTGACATCAACCTTGAAAACCTTTGTGATAAGTTCAGGCCAAGAGGTTGCTTTCTTCTCTCTCCGTCTTAGGACTTCTTGAGTTTCATCATCCACGGGCCCGTGGACTGGATAGTTTCTGCTCTGTTGATCTATTTTAAAAGAAATGCCACAAATACGGCACAGGTGTTGCAAATTTGCCGTATGAGAATCTTCCTCCATTCTTTTCAGCTCTGAGTCATTGTCCCCCATGCATTCTTCCTGACTCATACATTCTGAAGGTGGCGGTGATAAAGTTCCGAGGTCAAGGCCATTCGATCTGACATTAAAATAGGGTGACGTCTCCTGGGAGCTGGTGCAAGACACCCTATAATCATCTTGTTCCTCTTGAGAGGGGGTCCTTTCCAAAGATTTCACTCGAAACAGCTTAAACTTCCAGTCGGAAAACTTCATGTATGGCTGGTGCATTTTGCTGAGTGCTGGATCCCGTGGCACAGAGACCAACGGAAAATCTATGTTCTTGATTGCTGAAATGTAAAAAAGAACATATATGAATAAAAACTGAACAGCAAATCTACATGTTTTTACAATTTGTTGGTGAAATTTAACTTGCCTTTTTAAAGGTTTGTTTGACAAAAATATAAAAACTTTGCAGTTACTTATTCCAATATGCTGAAGCCAAAATCAATAGACCTTGTTAACTTCATGCTAGTTTTCAGGCACTTGGCAGGTGGGACAGAAGCACTTGGCCAGTGACCTGCAAGTGTTTGGTTCCAAAATTGTGCACTGAACTCCATGGATCAGTTTTACACTCTTGGGCATTCCAATGTGATTATTTAAGCACTCCCTGCAGAGTTCAGACCAAGACTGAATTTTGTTCTTTATGGCAGTTCTACAAACTTGTCCAGATACTGATACTGATACTGGTCAGTCTATATGATTACTGATGCACAGACATAAGCTAAAGAAGCATTTCTATAAATACTGTAAAATGTAACACAATAAACTTTTTAAAGATAACATAATATCTATAATATGATCCCTTTAAAATAATATCTATACTATAATACCTATGTTCTTACTTTGTTGGATTTGGGGCTGTCAAATAATGGAAGTCTTCAACTGGCTTGAGCAATGGAGGGTTTCTGGTGTGTTTGAGGAGAGGGCATCCTCCAGGTACTTATACCCCATATGTCCCATGTTCGGAAACTCAATTTAGGTTAGGAATTGCACTTTGCAGAGGTGCTCCAGCACAGCAGTGTGGCTTCAAATGTATGTTGTATCCCAGGATTAGTAGGTTTTGATGTGTTAACGAGCTGAATTTTGCATTTAACACAATTAATTTTCTTTAAATACATGTATGTGATTTGCTTGTGTTGCAACACTGCCAACATTGAAATGATAATGATATAATCAATAGCCACTTAACATTTCAATTTACACTAACAGGCTAACAAATCTATTAACGCATAAAGTGTATAATAAAACACCATAGTCTTATTTACCAAGGCAAATAGCAGTAAACAAAGTGCTGTAACTAAAAGCAACCAATCACAGTTTATTGTTCCAAAATGATGAAAAGTAAAATCTGATTGGGTTCTCTGGGTTACCGCACTCAGCACATTACTGCTTGGTTTGACTGTGCATATCTGAATGTCCATACCAGCCAGATTCCAGGTTGTATCTGAAAGCAGAACCCCAGCCAAAACATTTTTTTTCCTAATGGATTTAATTGCTGAGTGCCCATTGGAGAGATTACTCCTCACGGTAGCCCTTATGTATGAACAGTGTGCTAACAAGGAAAGTTCTGGTTACCCATAGTAACCTCCAGCTATGCAAAACTGAGAGTTGGAGGCTGATTAGCTGCTACGGGCAAAATTGTTTTATTAACTTTTTACACATCAGCCCCTTTTGTGTCGTGTGGTAGCGGGAGGTAGTAAGGGCAAACCTTCCCAACTAGATCCCAGATAGCAAAAATAAAAATTTGTTAAAAGTTAACCCTCCCTGCTCTTTTCTAACATAGGAATTTAAAATAAAAACAGATTTGGGCTGGGGTTCCCCTTTAATACAGTCACCTGTCCTGAAAAATATAAAAAAATTTTAAATGATCTCTGTGCTAATACTGGTCCAGGAGCAAGAAAATACCAACCAGTTCACCACACATAATCCCGGCTATAAATTATAGAAATACTAGGGTTCAGAGAGAAATTCACTGACCATATCATTACACATGGCGACAGTTCAAGTGCATATTAAAATATACACAAAACACATGAAAGGGACTTCAAAAGCCTCAACGCTTTGTAAAACATGATTAAGGGCTTTTGTACTCGGGCGTTGATATCAAACACATCCAGCTGAGCTCAAACACATGTGTTCCCATGCAGTAGACTGTGTTTAACTGCCTCTACCTGCGATGCAAACACATCTCCAATAGGACTGGCTGCATTCAGTGAAACGCAATACATAGCAGGTAAAAAGCAGTCTAAATAGGAATCAGCTGACGTGTTAAATAGAGGTAAATAATATCCATGTACATGAACCCCAAACATTTGTATTAAAGGGTCAATTCCCCCATATTACATTTCAGTATTAGGTAGATGTGGAAGGGTAAAACTGACATTTTCTGCTATCTCTTTGGGGACTCTATTGGTGAGAGCTCCGCACTGAGTTCACAGGTCTACATACCTACTGTGCCCAGTATGAGGGACTCCCACCATTCTTGTTTGAGTTTTATTGATTTTCTATTTTTAGAGTCAGGAATTCAAACTGGGAGATCTCACTGACAGAGTATTGGAGACATATACTGTAAGTATTTAGGGCTGACTCAGCCCAACTTTGCTCTATGAATAACTAAAAATTTGAAACAAAGGAGTTATCCTTTAAATAAAAATTAAGTGTGCAGCCCTAGCCTATGATAGCCATAGAATTTGCAACATTTAGGCAAGAAAGGCAAGGCAAGGGAAGGAAAAGAAAAGAACGCAAAGGAAAAGGAGAAAAAAGAGAAAGGAAATTAAATGAAAGGAAAGTAAAGAAAAAAAAAAGAAAAGGAGAAAAAAGAACGGTATTGAAAGGAAAGAGCGAGAGTGAGAAAGAAAGAAAGAAAGAAAGAAAGAAAGAAAGAAACAAACAAAGAAACAAAGAAATAAAGAAAGAAGAAATACATACAGGGTTATTAACAAAAGGGTGAAGAGTTTGGAGAAGGCAGGAGAAGTGAACAATCTAGGACAACATAGCTGAACTGGAAAGTGAGCTGAATTGGAGAATTTTTCCAAATCATTCTATGTTGTCCTAGACCAGTGGTGGCGAACCTTGGCACTCCAGCTGTGCCAAAACTACAAATCCCAACATGCATCTGCCTCTGGGAGTTATGTCTGTGGCTGTCAGAGCCTTGCAATGCCTCATGGGACTTGTAGTTCCAAAACAGCTGGAGTGCCAAGGTTCGCCATCACTGTCCTAGACTGTTCACTTCTCCTGCCTTCTCCAAACTCTTCACCCTTTGTGAATAACCCTAATAGTCTTTCAACATTCACCAAATGATGAAATATACATTTTGAGTGGAATATCCCTACAAACACACACTAGGCAGATGCTATTAATGATGCTGCCCATCCTCTGGTCCAGAGGTCACTATCTTACACCTGCTTCTGAGCCTCATTCAAACATAAGAAGAGTCAGTGAAAAAAATCCCTAGTTAATAATATTGTAGAATATCGAAGGAATCCATTATCACAAATAGAGCTCTTTGACATGCAGCAGTTCACTCTTTAAAATAACATATCTATATGAATATCAGAAATCATGTTAAAAAGTATTATGAAAATCTCATTTTGTCTAATTTTGAAGGAATAAAGAGCCCCCAACCATCTCTGCACAGCACTCAGAGGTTCAAATAGAAGGCATTCAGATCATTGGTTTTCTCCTGCTTATTATTTGGCAGCGGCGGCATGAATTTAAGACGTCTGAGAGGTTTCTGCTCTGATCAGTCTGCTTTAGGACGCTGTGACATGGTTTCATAGGTGACAGGCTCACTTTTATCATTAATAACCAATTAGCTGACCTTTGTGCGATGGCACACTTTCGCAACAAGTCTGCAGACAGGTACTGAGGACTGCCGTGAGTGACGCCAAAGCGATATTCCATAGTAACAGCGGCAAGCTGTGCCAAAACTACAAATCCCAACATGCATCTGCCTCTGGGAGTTATGTCTGTGGCTGTCAGAGCCTTGCAATGCCTCATGGGACTTGTAGTTCCAAAACAGCTGGAGTGCCAAGGTTCGCCATCACTGTCCTAGACTGTTCACTTCTCCTGCCTTCTCCAAACTCTTCACCCTTTGTGAATAACCCTAATAGTCTTTCAACATTCACCAAATGATGAAATATACATTTTGAGTGGAATATCCCTACAAACACACACTAGGCAGATGCTATTAATGATGCTGCCCATCCTCTGGTCCAGAGGTCACTATCTTACACCTGCTTCTGAGCCTCATTCAAACATAAGAAGAGTCAGTGAAAAAAATCCCTAGTTAATAATATTGTAGAATATCGAAGGAATCCATTATCACAAATAGAGCTCTTTGACATGCAGCAGTTCACTCTTTAAAATAACATATCTATATGAATATCAGAAATCATGTTAAAAAGTATTATGAAAATCTCATTTTGTCTAATTTTGAAGGAATAAAGAGCCCCCAACCATCTCTGCACAGCACTCAGAGGTTCAAATAGAAGGCATTCAGATCATTGGTTTTCTCCTGCTTATTATTTGGCAGCGGCGGCATGAATTTAAGACGTCTGAGAGGTTTCTGCTCTGATCAGTCTGCTTTAGGACGCTGTGACATGGTTTCATAGGTGACAGGCTCACTTTTATCATTAATAACCAATTAGCTGACCTTTGTGCGATGGCACACTTTCGCAACAAGTCTGCAGACAGGTACTGAGGACTGCCGTGAGTGACGCCAAAGCGATATTCCATAGTAACAGCGGCAGACTGTGTTTGCCTTCTTTTCTGGGTAAAAACGCCGGCTTATGGTTTCTTTTCTATTAATAACATTGGCAGCAATTTCCATTTTTTAAAGCCCAGGCTGGTACAATACCTGCCAGGTTGCAACCCTACCGCAGAGCCACAGGACCACGCTTGGTCATGTGACCTGAATAAGTGCCCCTCTCTAGGTCATTGGCAAGCTGGTCAGGCTCGCCTGCCAGCAAGAAAACAGATAGATGTATGTACTTTACCTGCTGTCAACCTGTCAGCGCTCACACGAAGTGTCATTCAAATTCCCAGCCTGGGATAACAAGTGTCAGTGTTTTTCTGTCTGCCAGAAAGCTGTGAGCCTTTATTTATCTTTCCTTCCAGAATTCAAATGTCTACACTCAGTCCTGACAGCCAATGAGAGAAGGGAACCCCACTGACCCCCTTTGCCGCAGCTGTACATGGGCCCTGGGCCCTGCCCCCTCCCCCCTCCCCCCTGTTCTGTGCACCTGGGATATGGTGTTTTGCAAGGATAGCGGTGGTTAAGCCACAA